ATCCATCCTGGGAAACTAGCACTGAGCACCGACTCTACAGGTCGGATGGCGACATGGAGACTTGTTAACGTCTTAAATACAGTGGCGGGTGGTGACATGGAGACAGGGTACCTGGTAGTCCTCGTGTCAAAATCAACCGTTTCATCTCTCCAAGCCGGCCAATGCCACGAAAGCATCGTCCACTTCCCCACTCTTTTTCGGACGCCGAGATGCTGGGCGCTGCTACAAGAGATGTGCTGCTCACGTGTCGCGCCCAGTGTGGTCACCTTGAACACAGGTGCGGCACACACCGGGAGTCACTCGGGGGGCACTTTTTCGGGCACGACGGGCACGACGGGCACTTTGGCGCACGTCGCCGCCCGCTTTTTCTTTCCCGATCAAGACATGGCGTTTTGTTTGTATCGATTGAAGAATGGCTAGACCCACAAAAGGGCCAGCTATACCACCACTTGCTTGTTGCTACCTGAGTATGTACAGTAGAGGTTCGCTTGACTCAGTGGTTGGAAATCCTTTGAAGAATGGCCAGCAGGAATGCAAGAACCACTGCAACAAACTATTGCACCACAAGCGCCCCCCTTGGAAACAAGCATCATTGAATTATAGACTCTTCCCTGCGAAGTTCCCGACTTCTTCTCTTTATGCCAAGTTCCCCAAACGTCGCAGGTCTGGCACTTCACGAGAGGCAACCCCATGCATGGCCCAAAGCCGTTTGGACGCTGTGAACTGCAACGGCCGTGGAGTTGGCGAGTCGGTGTGGGGGGGGCGATCTGGCCCTGAGGCTCCTGGCCCACCTCCGTTTCGACATGTTTCGAAGGTGGGCCAGGGGTGCCAGGGGGGGTCGAATGCCACCAAGCCTGAGGATATGGTTGGAGGTGTAAGTCTTGCAGGCTGGCAATGCTTGGGAAACACGAAGACGTGGTGCAACGTGAGCCGCGTGCTCCCTTGGGCTCCCAGGGAACCTGGGATGTTCTGCAATCTTGGGCAAGTCGACCAGGGTGCTCTGGACGCGGTGGCGCATGTGATTCGGTGCAAGATCTGAAAAAGTGGACCCCCTTCGATGGGCCGCCTTCTTGATCCTTTTTTTCCATTTCGGTCGTCTTTTTTTCTGCGGACCACTGGGGGCGGTTCCGTTCCTGAAAAGAAGGTACCCATCAGGGTGGAACATGCAGGATGAAACAGGCTTGGAGTCCGATGTCGATTTTCAGGGCCATGTCACACGAAACCAGCAAACATGCATCAGGTTGATTCCCAATTCTTCCCTTTTGGAGCATCCAAACATGCATCAGGTTGATTCCCAATTCTTCCCTTTTGGAGCATCCATCCGTTGATTTCCCATTGATGCTAGCATCAGATTACATTGCAACCAGGTGATTTCAGGTGAGAGGTTCCCCCGGTCCAGCTTCCACGGCTTCAACGTGAGAGAATCAGGATGCTCTTCAGCATGTCCCGCTACAGCTGTCGGCAGGATTCCATTAGTTTCTTGGGCGGTGGACCATTCTTCCCACGGTGGGAGCGTGGATCGGGCGGGTTGGAGGCGCTGTTTACCACGAAACTCGGAACGGGCGATCGGATACGATTGTTCCTAGTCTTGCGATCGCGTTTGGAACTAGGGATTTGTGTTCGCCGGGTCGTTTCCACGTTTTGTTGCAAACTTCTCCCCCCAAAAGCACAACTGGATGCCCTCCCAGCAGTTGGATGATGCATTCAAAGAAGTCATCTCCAGAAACTCCAGCCGAGCCCATTGACCCACGGACTTGGCGAACCCCCATGTCAGCCAGCCGAAGTCCAGTCGACCATCAAAAGATGATCCTTAGGTGATCCGAAAGCTTCCATGGTGCCAAACATAGTCGAAGTGACACCACCACCTGGGAAGCACGTTTTGCTTGGCATCACCACCTGGGTGGGAGGACAGTCGATCTGGTTTGGTTGGTGGCTGAACTGACTTCGCGAGGTCCCGCCTCCCATCTGGGGTCCCCTTACCGCGTTCCGTGCAGTTTCATCTCGCAGGACGTTTTGTTTCTTCATGGTTTGCCTGCGGTGTGTATTAGAATAGGGAGACCGACCTCCCACTTCAACCTCCTGCGAGGTTCGGAAAGACCGCAACACCCAATTTGGGCCAGGGGGGAGTTCCTTAAAATACCAACCCGACCTAAACTCAACCAAATTGGACTGGATGTCAGCGGTTTTCTTTGAGGCCCATGTTTTAAACATCCATGTCTTTTGTTTGATCCGTAAGACAGCCAGTAAGCTACCTGAACCTACCTTCCACCTGTACACGGTCTTCTCCATGCAGTTTTGCAGAGGATTTGCTGCCTTTTTAAAACATCCATGTCAAACTGAGTCAAACTCATCCCTCAATCGCTGCTCAATAAAGGCTATGCGGTATCCACACCCTGGTGCCGAAGTCGCCAGCTGCTGGAGCATGCTCAAAGCAAGACGCTGACCCCTTCGCCGGCGGCGCTGGGAGCAACTTGGCGATGGAAGGAGGAGGGGGTTGGAGTCCTCTTAAATAGATAGACTAATAATGACTAATAGGATTCCTGGCGCACCATTCATTTACTGTATACAATTAGGCATTAACAGAACCATGGACCATGATGGTTTTACTAGGATTCTACACCACACAACCAGGTGAACCATCCTTTTTTTGGTCTTTGAAGGGCAGGGTATACTGTAGAATCTTGATGAATACAACCCCCCATGTGAAGAGACCACTAAAGAGTCGTTCCCTGCGTGTCATCTCGGAGTCCTTTCGATACATGGTTAAGCATATTCAGACATTCTCGGGGTCCAAAATCTTCCCTGCCTATAGTCAGCAAGGAGCCACAAGTTTGACTAGATGACTAGACTTGGATTTGCCATGGATCAGCGATGTGGCATATCTCGACGTCCCCAATTTCCTGATTCAGAACATGTCTACAAATGGATCCATCAAATTGTGCTCACGCTCCCACATAATCTGCCATATAACACGGAGATTGACATCCCTGTTATACCTACCTTGCATCCAAAGCCTGTGTGGCCGGACTGGCCAGAGATTTCTTTGGCCAATCGGGAGAACTTCTCTAGACTCCTCCGTAACCATATGGCTAGGAAGAAAAGCTTGGACCTAATTCACCACCCGGAACCTAATTAGGTACGTGTCTTAGACAACCTGGTGTGCATCCGATAATTTGCTTGATGGGACCCATAACTTTTGCCATTTCTTCTCTTGTGTTCGTGCTGCATGTTGCCCTGGTAGTCTTTTCTTAGCGATGGTAGTGTACATAGTTTCTTTTGTTAAGGTGTCACCATCGAACAGTCGAACCCGCTCCACCCGTGGGCAAGGGTCGGATGGTGGGAGTGAGTCTGCAAGTCCGTGCATCCACCCCTGGGGGGTCTTATTTATCAAGATTCTACCTGAAAAGGCGATGTACTTCAATCGAGTGGGGGCAACGCTCCCATGGTTACGTACGCTGCGCGACTTGAAACGGCACGCGTGGGCGCCCACGCGTGGTTCATGGCATGAGCAGCTCGCCCTCCCGGAAATCCGGGATGGGATGCCTGATGCCGTTGATGTGCAGACTCCTGCACCACCTTGGCTCCTTTCCCTTTTCCTCCTTTCCTTGTGGATAAGCTTCTTCGTTAACAATGCACGACGGTCTAAGCAGGCCACGACCTGCGTACTCGTGGTTTCTGGACTGACCAAAGCAGTATCGATCGCAAGGGCGTCACACTGTCCACAGCAGTTTGATTCTCCTGACCTTTGTAGTAGCTGGCCCCACCCATATCCAATTTGATCATCTTTGATCTCATTTGGGATATTTTAGTTATATTTTGGTGTCTTTAACTTTGACTCCCTTTGCCTCTTCTCCGCCCAGGCAATGGTCTCTTCGATGCCCTTGGTTTTGTGGCGCCAAAGCCTTTACTTCTACCACCATGTGCGCGGGGCGGCCACTGCCACTTGGTTCTTCGAAAAGGACCCCAGAGGTCACGTTGAGTGACCCAAAACGACCCCTACCAATTCACTTGGCTGGAGGAGTTGGTCCACACTTCTTGGAAAAGCCAGAGGGTCCACACTTGTGGTATGGCAGCAACAAGACAACAGCATGATTTGCGGCAGTTTGCTTTTTCATTCTGACCTTTGAAGCCTTACCAATTCAAAACCAATGTGCAGAAATAAAATCTGCTAAAAACGCGCTCCTTCCCCCTAACTTCCAAAGAACAAGTGTCGAACGAAGACCCAATTTCGGACGAATTCACCTCTCAACACTATCGCCGAAACCTGACCCCCAGATGCTGAGCCGCCTCCGTGCCTGCGACGCCGTTGCCGCGGCGCATGCCGCGAACGGCGCCGCGGCGCCCCTGCGTGCCCTGCCAGAGATGCTGGAGGGCGTGGCCGGCGCGATGCAGGAACTGCGGAAAAAGAGGTGGCCGTTCTTGCGCGGGAGAGAGGGTATAGATATAGGTTCTGAATGGTGATGATATGATTGGTTCATGGAGCTTGGGTGACCACACGGTGATGTTCCCGTGTGTTTTTTCCCCAAGCGCTTGAATCGACATTTTACAAATCCAGCCGCTAAGACCGGACCGAAGATCTCGCTGCGAACAAGAAAGGGGATTCGCTGGCTATGACCGAATGATCTCGAGATGACCGATTGATCAGGGGGTGACCACGACGACCTGTAGATTGGAAGATTTGTCGCCCGAGCACCACCCCAACTGATCGGTCAATAGGCCCATGGAGCGTCTGGGTGCCAAACATTTTGACGTCTAAGAACTTGTCCCGGTCGGGTCATCCGGGCAGGTTGCCAATGGATCGTGGGTGAATTGGACCAGATCGATCCTAAATAGGTCAGACCGTGGTTTTCTTTGCGCATCCGAAATTCGATCAGGCTGGACTTGTGGAGTGCCGGTGATTTGGGTGCCTAGTTTGCCCCAAACTCCTACCGTAGGTCGCAAAGGAGGCCGAGGACATGTCTTGGAACGTCTTCCTGACGACCGGCGGTGGTTTTACGGCTCAGAACTCGAGACCCGAACGTCGTCGAGTACGTCCCAACGAGTCCAATTTCCAGGCATGGAGTTGGAGTTGGAGTTGTTTCAGACGAATTTGGGCCAGACTCCAACAAAGGGATCGAAAGGACAAGCTAGCCAGCGGAAGAGCTTTGGAATGCAGGGAATTGACCAGCACCTATTTGGCAGCCCCTGACGCCACAAGTTCCGGGTTGTGAGGGAAGGCTACTTGTAGCATCTTGCACCTGTTTACTTGGCAGACCTTAATGTAGACTCTTGATGAAGAAAGCCCCCCAAGCCTGAAGAGGTTTTACATTGTTTTACAATCCATGCCTGTGTTTTTTGTTAATCAAGATGCTGCATAGAGCATCAGCGTGAGTTTCTTTGAGCAGCAAAATCGACCTGAAGACAGCGAGGCTATAGCGGCTAGGGGCTTTGGGAGGAAGCCCGATGATTCAGACATTGCTGTACTATGCTGTGCTGGTATTGATCGATGCAGAGTACATGTTTGTTGGAGATTGTCCTAAGACTTTGACAGAACATGACAGAACTTGAACAACAGAAGCATAATTTGATTAATTAACGTCTTTGAACGGCTCCGGGTCAAAAACTCGAAGCCCCAAACCTGAGTTGTACGCACAAAAACGTGACCATCCCCAACTGGCCCAGACTCATCAGGGGCCAATCCTCCAAACGGCTAACACCTACCAAGCTACAAACCAACGCCTCACTGAGCGGGTGCAAGACAACGCTGGACCGTCCGGACCTGTCCCAACTCCATCACCACAAGTCGTTGCAGCTTGTATCTGGGGACGAACCCTATCTAAAGCAGTCTGGGATGTTTTTTGACAACTTCCATGGCCCTCCAGGGTCACTACCATCTAAAGGTGACTTGGGCCTTAGTTGGATTGAGTTAGCAATTTCCTTTGTGTTGGCCACAGGACTGTCCCTTCCAATCTGTCTTCCGGGAATAGGCCACACAGAAGCATTTCTGATTGACTCAGACAAAATCCAGTTGCTGCCACCCGGCCAGCGGTGCTTGCGGTTACAAGCGGAAACACTCCGCAATATAGTGCAAACACTTCAATCTTTAAGTCGCCAAACGCTCGTTCCAGCTTTTGCTAAATCCAATTGCCGTAGCCTTCTACCCCTTCAGTTTGAAGTTAAGCACGCCTCAGGACCGGCATGCCGCCCTAACCTTCCCAATTCCGTGGAAACTATGCAAGCACTTCAGACCTACATTGATGATCTCGATTGCGATCCCCCTTTTCACTCCAACCGACCATTTCACCTGCCGCTCCAAGTGCCGATTTGAGATCATGAAACTCTTGAAGAAATTCCGTTCAAACAGAGATACGTTTTTAGTGATAAAATTCGTCGCTTTTGGACCTAGAGCTTCCAATGATACACATAAATGTGTACCATTATATTTCCGCGTGTTTCCCAAAAAGCTGTACCACTTGAGGGGTCTCAAGAAAAAGGTGTACCACTTGGTTTGGTTGTTTGATGCTGTTTGGACATGGATGGTCCCATCCTTTGTAAAGCGCACATCCACAGATGCTTTTTCACTCATCTTTCAGCCATCCACGCTTCCGCCAATGGCGCTTGTAGTGAAGCAATGCTTTTTGCATTGTCGTGACACAAATGCAGAATGAATGGGAGCGTCTCGAAGCACGAGCTACCTGCAAAACACGCAAACATACTGCGCATACTGCACGTAATTATCAAGCATGCAAGTCAAACTGCAACTGCATTTATGCAACCACAGTGCTCTTCCAATGAAGTCCTCATCTTTCCACGTGGCAAAGCCTAGCAAAACAAGTGGGTGGGTGGAGGTTTGGGACTCGGGACCTATCCATGCATGTAAAAAGTATTAAGCAAGAAGCAGTTCGGCGACAGAACCAGCGCTGCTCCACGTGACAGCTGGTCTTGCATCCATAGCCTCATTGCATGAGTGGCATGCATGAAAACATGACTGCATTCTTGTCATGCGTTAGGACGACACGCATGCGTGAGAGATGTCCAAAGCATCCATGTTCCATGCGTGAGATATTGTCCCCTATAGCTATAGCTCCATGCGTGACAAGTTGTGCATGCATGGTGCCTGCTTGACAAGTTGTGCATGCGTGACAAGTTGTGCAAGCCAGTGTTGAACCTAAGATTTCTGAAATATTATGATTTTAAAGTTTGGACTTTGCACTCATGGTTGGGTGACCAGACCCAATTTCCATCTGCATGTGCACCTTCGGGATCACAGAAAAGTACTTCCACTGCCTCTTCTGGCACCAGCATCCCAATGCTGTGAAGCCTTCCTTAGGTCTTTTAGCAGGACTCTACTACATGCTTTTCAAGCCCAATCATCCCTGGTTGCAATCATCAACACACAGCAAAAACATGGGGGCAATGCATTCAAGGTGCGCAAAAGTTCTGTATCGCTTGCACTGCTTGCTCGGCCACCTGCTTGGGAATCCACCTTCCCTTGATGCAACCAAAATACAGCTTCACGTTCTGAACCGTGAACTGAAGAAGCGCCATCAGGTCAGATTCAGTGGCCTCAAGGCTAGATGCATGGCGCAGCAAACTCCTTTACAGCTTTGAAGGGTAAGGGCTCGGCATGGGCTGCGTTGAGTGGCCCTGTCTCCATCAACCACTGAAGCCACTTTCCCACAGTCGCTGTGTCTGATGCCTTTCCATGCAGACGAGGCTTGTCGTTCAGCCTCATCAGAGCCAAGCAACATCACATCACTTGCTATCGTCATGAAAGGAGACTTGGACCAGTACGACTTTGCGCCAAACGTCTTCTTGAGGTCAAATTGCAAAATCGATGTGACCACCTTCATCCGACGGCACCAAGACTTGAAGTGGACATAGGCTGCATTAAACCTCTGTCCAATAGTGTCTCCTTCAAACCACGCAAGCCGGCCAACGAGGAGAACCTCGCAACTTGCATATATGCAAGAAACATGCATGCGTTGATAGGACCACCTAATCATTGTCATCAGCGTCCAGATGCATGCATGACAGAAATGAATCATGAGTGTACACACCTTTGAGTCTCTACAAGTTCATCAAAGATGAGCCGAGACACTACCATGGATGCTGTGAACACCTGACCAACGCCCAGATGCCAAGTATGCATGGGGTCCGGTGGTGGCACACAAGGACCTGTACCAGGCACCATGTGTATGGATGCGCCCTCGGAAGCATCCGTTCCAGGCCGGGCCGCCCTCCAAGGCGCTCCAAGTGAAGAGTCCCACCAGCACTGCGACAGGCATAACAATTTGTTGAATGCACAAACGTATCATACACGCACGTCTTTTGATTTTGACCACTGCCTGTGATGAGCAGTAGTGGCAAACCCTTGTGCTAGCGAAGCCAGATGTCAGCAAATGACATTTTCCTCAGCTCAAACACACCTCTGGATGGCCTACAAAATGAAGACACAATCTTGGACACGCACGCTGCCAGGGCCAATCGCCCTTTACTCCAACAAAGCCGATTCGAAGCACAAAGCTTGACCCGTCAGGTCTGGTCACCTAAGAGAAGCAAGCCGATGGACCCATAATGGCTGCATGACCTCTAACCAAAGGCATGTGCATGAATGGTCATGAATGCCTGTCGCTGAAACAAATCACTCGCATGTCTCCAAGAATACTTAATCAAACGATAAGCCTAGACGCTTCCACTCCTTTCTCAAACAAATTCAGGAAGTCCTCTGCGATGTAGCGGTGCAAGCATTCGATAGTCTCATCACCATCAAGCGTCGCAGCGTAGCGTTCACCGGGTATAATGCTCAGTAGCAAGCGCGAGAGGAAACTATGTCCACAGTTGGTCTGGAGAAGCGGTTGGCAACTCAAAATCATCACTGCGCGCCTCAACTTACCACGGCCCTCATCTCCGTGGTATGCGAATGGCACTGTGGACTCAAGCCACGATGGAGGATGAGAGTAAATGTCATGTTCAGGATGAACTGTCTTGTAAAGCAACCAAAATGATAGCATCTCCCTGCGCCACGATGATTCATCTGCAATCAGCCTAAAGCCATTGAGAAGCATCTCCCCTGTTGTCCGGCTCACAATGTAGGCCAACCATGAACTCAGCAGCAAAAGAGGCCACGGCGCCCTCGTTACTGCTTCCTTGACTTTAACTGGTATCTCTGCATGGCTGATCTCCACAGGCAACGACAAGGTCCACCTCGTGATCAAGCGCTTCAAATTTCTTGAGAAGTTAGCCGGGTCTTTCCATTCAGCAATCGAGCTCAAAAGCTCAGATGAACATCCTCGGTAGCAAGAGCCACCCGCAGTAATTGCAGGATCAATGAACGGTTAAGCCCAGCACGTCCATCAAGACATCGGACAAACCTCACTGCTGATACGCATTGCCTTGCACCATCAGCCTGGCACATGCGTGAGTTCCCAAAGCCTGTCCCCAGTCCCGCAGTTCATGCCAGGCCAACCCCAGTCTCATAATGCGACAAGAGCTCATGAATAAGCTCTTGGTCCAGCTTCGTGTACCGATTCCCTCAGCGAGTGAATAAGATGGCACTGACAGCAGATCCCAACAGGTTATGTGTGCAAAGGTCATGCGTGCAAAGGTCAGGTGAATGGGTCACATGCATGAATTCCTCAGAAAGGAAGCGCGGTGTCAACACTGAAAGCAGCAGCGCAAGGAAGCCTTATTCCCCAACGCATTCAATCATTCGCTGCAAACGTAAAATGATACATGATTGAGCAAACCTTGATGAAGCCGATTAAAAGCACACATGCATGTGCAGCACAGTCAAAAATAAGACCTAAGGCCAATTGATATGTCAAAGGTTTTTAGATCAGGTTGTAATGACATGCGCAAACATGGTCAGCTAAGTGTCAGGCACTTGGACCAATCGTCAGCCAGCGCAGGCAAGATCCAGCATGCCAGGTTCAGGCACGCAAAGGGGGCAAGCGATTTCCCACAAGATTAGTGGTTCCTTTTTTTGTGGCTCTAAAACAAATCAGAAGGACACACTTCATGCATGCACATGCGTGATCATACGTCATTTTGACAAACCTTTCCATGCGTGTAC